GCCTGGTTAGGGCTCAAGCCTGAGTCTTGACAATGACTGCAGCACTGAAAATGGGGAGGGAAGAACCCACCTTTCCCCAAGGTCTCATCTTATCAGTTAATGGTGCCTGCACGGTGCTGCTGGCCGGGATTTAAACAGGCCAAGCTCTTCTAGCTGTCAAGTCCAACAAGGTGGGTGCTTGACAGCAGTGAACTCCAGGCCCCAGTGTGCAGGGTGGTGAGGATAGAGCTGTCCCTGACCGAGATCCTTTGCTTGATGAAGGTCTCATCAGGCTCCCAAACCTTCCTTGGCCCCATCCATCCGTGTATATCCTTGTAAAATCCATTTTCTTTCTTTTCTGTGTTTTTGTTTTATTTCTTTTGTTTTGTTTCCTTTTGCTTTTAGGCAGGGTCTTGTTGAGTAGCCCATGTTGGCCTTGAACTCTTGGTGATCCTCCTACCTCAGCCTCCTGAGGGCTGGAATTACAGCCATTGACCACCATGCCCGGTGTAAAACCAGTTTTAGCAAGAACCCTGCTAAATCAGCTTAGCAAGAGCTCCCCATCCTCAATATCAATCACTTTTGATATCTAGTCAAGTTCCTCATTTGCACCATACACCAGGCCCTCTGCAGGGATACTGTTAAATCAGTCGGTGTAGCCAGAACCTCTCTTCCCCATAATGCTTCTTCTTCGTACTTTCCCATCTACTGATTCCCCACTTTATGCCTTAGCTATAAATTCCCACCTGTCCATTCTGTATTTGGGATTGGGCCCAATCTGTTTCCCTCACTGCAAAACCCCGCTACTGTGGTCCCTGTACCTATTGTGACATCCAGATAAGTCAGCCAAAAACATCACAAAACAACCAAGGCACCAAGTAAAACCAAGAGATGGCAGAAGAAGAGAGAGAGGGTAGGGGGAGAGGATAAAGAAAGAGTTAGGATGTGTTATGTACATGCCAACTCCCCATGGTGAATGTAATCATTACATACTGCAAACGTGGACTGATTAAAAAAAAAAGCCAAGTAAAGTCAGCCTTACTGAGCTTTGACAATTATCACTGAATGATTCTTTTCTTTCATAGTTCCCTTAAAAATAGAGGGCGAATGGTACCCTGGAAATTCCTGACATGGCATAGTATTGCAAGTGGGTTTTTGGAGAATGGGGTGGGAGATAAGTCACTGTTGGCAATAATGAGATTCCCTGGGCTTCAGAGAACTGGATGTTGTCTTAGAAACATGCAAAACAGTTGGGCATGGACTGAATAGAGAACCAGAAGCTTTGAGAGGCTTGGCAATCTAGGATCATTCAAAGTCTGCATATTTAAATAAATTCAGATTATCTCCAGGCTGAGAATTTGTCCCAGTGGTGGGATAGGAATGAAATGCAAAATGTATAAATCGATGAAAGCTCACTCATCACTGATTAGAAAAAGATTACACTAAGATCTGATAGTGGCAACTATTTTTCTTCATTATTTATATGTGTGTATGGTACAGGGGATTCACACTGAGCTACATCTTAGCCCTTTCTTTTTATTTCTTTCTTTCTTTGTTTCTTTCTTTCTTTCTTTTTTGGTCTTTTTGAGAGAAGGTCTTGCTATGCAGTTCAGGCTGGCCTTGAGCTCACTTTGTAGCTGAGGGTGGTCTCGAACTTGCAAGTGACAGGTGACTATCTTGGCTTTGATCACCTGGCTTCCCTTGTCCTCTGCCTGTCTGCCTTCACTCATATCTTGCTAATTGCTCCCTCTACTAAAGTTTTTTTCTTTTTTCTTTTTCTTTTCTGATGGAGACTGAGGCAGTAATCCTCCTGCCTCAGCCTCCCAAGTGCTGGGAGAAAGAAAACGAAAATGAAAAGGAGACAAGGGGCATCCACTTAAAGAATTCTTATTTTGAGGGGCTGGGGATTTAGCTCAGCGGTAAAAGCGCCTGCCTGGCAAGCTCAAGGTCTTGAGTTTGGTTCCCGGTACCAGAGAAAAACCAAAAAAAAAAAAAAAAGAATTCTTATTTTGTTATGGTTTGTGTCTAGATGTCCCCTAGAAGCTTTATGCAGTCCTGGGAGGACGGGTTTTTCAGAGGTGGCTGAATCTAGAGTTTGTGATTGATTCATAGTCCAATCCTGGGATGAAGGGTGTGAGTGCTACACCTGCGCCATGGGGGACAGAAAGAGGCTTGTTTCCTCCCTTGCTTGCTTACTTTTGCTGTCTTCCACTGCTGTGAATTGTTGCCCCCTCTGCCACGTGTCACCCTGCCTTGGAGCCAGCTGGTAATGGATTGAAACCTCTTCAAATGGTAAGCTAGATAGACCTTTCCTCCCTTAACTTTGGGCATTGGGTATTTTGTCCCAGCAACAAAAAAAGTAACTAAAGATATATTTAGTATATAAAAAATACACATACCTATACATCTATATGCATATTTTTTTTCTCACTTTAGGACCACAATATTACCACACTAAACATACACGCTTCCTCTTTTTTTTTTTTTTTTTTTTTTGGTATTTTTGAGACAAGGCCTCACTATGCAGTTCAGGCTGGGCTTGAGCGTACTTTGTAGCCCAGGCTGGCCTCGAACTTGCAATGATCCTCCTGCCTCAGCCTCCCGAGTGCTGGGATTACAGGCGTGTGCCACCAGGCCTGGCTATGCATCCTCTTACCTAATCGCTAACTTGATCTTGTATGCAAGGCTCCTCCTAACCAAACTATAAATTCCAGAGATGAGGCCCATTGTATTTAGATCTGGGCATCCTGGTCTTGGGCTCAGAAGGTGGATCTAGTCGCTGAGGCGGGTGTATCCAGTGTCTAGACCTAGATCCTCCCCTTTTTTCCCAGCTGTTTCCTTGGTCACTTCAGATTTAGTCCAGAAAGCAGGTTCCAAGGCAGGCCACCCCTCCCTGCTTTCTCCAACCTTTACTTTCTTTCTTTTTTTTTTTTTTCCTGTCTTTTTGAGACAGGATCTTGATGTGCAGTTCAGGCTGGCCTTGAGCTCACTTTGTAGCCCAGGCTCATCTTGAACTTGCAAGGGTCCTCCTGCCTCAGCCTCCCTCCCAAGTGCTGGGATTATAGGTGTGCACCACACGCTCAGCCTTGCCAACCTTTTCTGTAGCTAACTCCTCTCTCAGTTCCACAATGCCAGCAGAGAAAAGGATCCAGTTTAGGGTCAAAAATTGGTAGCAAAGACACATAGAACACGATTCTATTTCTATGAAATGTCCAGAATAGGCCAATCTATCACAGCAGAAAGTAGGTTAGTGGTTGCCAGGAGCAGTGGGGAGTGACTGCTAGTGCGTGTGTAGTTGCTTAGTATTTTTGGAGGATGGTGAAAATGTACTAAAATTAGTAGCGGGTAGTAAAATTAGTTGTGAGTTGGCTGCAAAACTCCATGACTATGCAAAGAGCCGTTGGATTTTACAACTGGGGAGTCCTGAGGATTGAACCTTGGATCTTCACACTGAGCTACAACCCCAGCTGCCTTCTCTTTTTATTGTTTTATTTTGAGAGTCTTACTGAGTCACTAAATTTTCCAGGCTGGGCTCAATCTTGTAATTCTCCTTCTTCAGCCTCACAGAGTGCTGGGATTATTGATGTGCAATACTATGGCAGGCTGGATATTATACTTTAAAAGGGTGAATTTTATAGGATGTGATCATTCAGTAAAGGTGTTGGTGAACAGGGCATGGTGGTGCACATTTGTAATCCCAGCATTTGAGAGTCTGAGGCAGGAAGGTTGCTGCAAGTTTGAGGCCAGCCTGGGCTATATAGTGAGCTCAAGGCCAGCCTGGACTACAGAGCAACTACCCTGTCTCTAAAAACCAAAAGTAAATAAATAAATAAAGATGTTGGTTTTTAAAAGTCAATGCAGGGGCTGGGGATTTAGCTCAGTGGCAAAGCGCCTGCCTGGCAAGCACAAGGTCGTGAGTTCGGTTCCCGGTACCGGAGAAAAACCAAAAAAAAAAACAAACAAACAAACAAAAAAAGTCAATGCAGTTAAACAAAAACTTGCCCAGGTCCGAGGTGATGCTACAAAGCTACCTGAACAGCAATTTCTCTTTCTTTTCCTTCCTTTTGTTTTGTTTTGTTTAGATAGAGTCTTGCTCTGTAGTCCAGGCTGGCCTTGAACTCACTATGTAGCCCAGGCTGGCCTTGAACTGAAGTAATCCTCGCATCTCAGCCTCCCAAGTGCTAGGATCACAAGCGTGTGCCACCAGGACCGGCCTTTTTTTTTTTTTTTTTTTTTTTTTGTCTTTTCTTCCGGCCATATTTTTTCTTTAACGACAGTCTCACTATGTAGTTTAGACTGGCCTTGCACTCACTTCCACCTGCCTGATTTTGAACTCATGGCAATCCTCCTGCCTCAGCCTCCTGAGTGTTGGGGTTACAAACATATGCTGTCGCTACCAGCTCCTTCTTTTCTATTGTTTCTTTTTTTATTTTCCTGTTATACTGAGGATTGAACCCAGAGAGTACCAAACTATACCCCCAGCGCCTACCACTATGCCTCATTTATTTTTCATTTTGAGACAAGGTCTGACAAAATTAACCATGCTGGATTTGAGTTTGTAATCTTCCTGCTTCAATGTTCTGAGTGCTGGGATTACAGACTCTAAACAGAGTCATTTCTAAAGAACTGGTAGGGGCCAGGTGTGGCAGTGCATGCCTGTGGCAGTGCATTCCTGTACTCCCAGCACTTGGGAGGCTAAAGTCAGGACATAGTAAGTTCAAGGCCAGCCTAGGCTACATAGTGAGACTCTATTTCCAAGAAACACACACACACAAATATAAAGTTAAAGAGCTGGTAGAGTAACATTATTTATTTGCAATAAAAGTTTATCTAGCTGGGTGTGGTGGTATATACTTATGATCCCAGCACGCAGGATGCTGAGGCAGGAGGATTGCTGTGAGTTCGACATCAGGCTGGGCTACATAGTGAGTTCAAAGCCAGCCTGAACTAGTGAGATCCTGTCTCAAACAACAAAAACAAAGAAAAAAAAAATAAGAATCTTATCTAATATTAGTGTTTATTAAGCCTTTTATCTCGTTTAATTTTTAAAACAAAAGGGACTGTAGTTACGGCTTCAGTGGAGAAATTGGAAGGCTCTGTTCTGAGCCTGTTGTTAGTCTCCTTGGTCAAAAGCTCCCTGAGCGGAAGCTCCTGTGTGTTGGAGTTGTACCTCTGTGAGCTAAAGGTCTCCTTCTCCCACTCAGGAAGCTTCCAGGTAGGGGCATTCATGGCAGCTGTGTCTGGGCAGGTTGCGCTGTAGTCAGATCTGGTGGGTTCAGAGAAGGCTTTTTCCTGCATTTGCCTTAGCTCAAATGTTTGCAGTTTAAAGTACTCTTTATATCACCCTGGTGGATTCGCAGTCCATTTGTTTTTGCTTTTAGTATATTCTCACCCATTCTGAACATTATTGCAGTGATTTATTTCTTCCTTTAGGTGCTGCTTAGAAATTTCCTCATCCCCAGGCATCTTTAATAAAAGGTTATTTTTATTTGGCAATAAAGGGTATGAAATATGCTGGGGTATAGTTCAGCAGTAGAGCGCCTGCCTAGAGCACAGGAGGCCTGGGTTCTATCCTTAGCACCACAGGGGTGCTGGGGCCCCCAACATCCCCTAAAATCTCGGGGGGGGGGGGTATTTGGCCCACCTTCCCATGTATCAGAGCTTCCACTCTGTCTCCCAGCCGCTGCTCCTGTCCTGTTGCTGCTGAGCTACAGTGGACAAGAAAAACACATCAGTAGATCTAGTGTAGTGACCATGAACCTTTAGAGACCGAGTGCCCAAACTGCAAACCCAAACCCACTTTTTTATCACAAAGTGCCAACAATGCAATTCAACCTGAAAACTGAGGTTTTAGTTTAGAAAAATCAACTCATACACTAACATCCTTTGGCTTAAAGGATAAACACAACGACAGAGCTTTAAGTGATACATACAGGTTGTTACTGAAAGTAAAAGTTTGCGTTTAGCCGGCTTTTGTGAGATGAGGTATTATCCGATGCGCGGCTGCTGAGGCGACGCTGGGGTGGTTTGGCCTGCGGGGCACAGAGAGGGCAGCGGCGGCGCAGGTGCACAGGTTCCCCATCACTGGACTCAGTCTTGGCGTCCGGGTGGGTTTGTAGTCTTCCACGGCAGCGTTTGAACTGGTTTAAAGAGGGACGTTTGAAACATCCGGGGCTTCTCCTTGGCAGTAGCCAAAAGAGAGCTAAAGGCCGAGCGGGCCCTCTTTCCTCATCTTCGCTCCTCAGCAGGATGGGAAGCGGCTTCCCCTCTTGTCTCAGGAATACAGTTCTGAACTTTCCACCGTTTTCCTCCTCTCCACCTCCCCGCCTGTCTTTTAACTGGCTGCCAGGTTACCATGCCAATAAGGTTCCCATGGTTACTAGGAAGCGCCGCTGCATTCCCTTAGGCAGCTCCCATCTACCCAAAGAAAAAGGGAAATTGTGGTGCCCCCTACCCCGGCTAAATAAATAAGGACAGAAGGGGTCTCCGCGCAAGAGCTGTTGGAGGACGAATCTCATTTAGCCCTGCTCTCTCCAGGCTGGACCTTTTTTTCTGGACCTTGAAACAAACTCTGCTGTCTCTGTTCAAATCCTCTGCCCTCTAATTCCGGGAGAGAGGTGCCTGGCACGAGTTCAATTCCATTGTTCTGCCCAGTTTGGGGTCCAAATAGACACCACATTGTGAGGACCGCGTTAATATGTAAATAACTTGATGCATCTGTGCTCTTTGTGTAACAAGGAAACCGACAACTCGCAACGCGTGCTCCGCGGTCTCCTCAGTTGGGTATCTCGTCAGAGAATCTGCTTTTCTCCTTACCGTGTTTCGCCCTAGAGTGACTTTCAGGTCACACCGTGTTTTCTTTTTAACAAAGTTTGTTATACCAAAACATAAATGTGTTTTAATACAAACCTCAAAAATAAAGACAATGAAGACACAGTTCCAAAAGAAAAATATGTATTTTTAAAAAAAAATTCGGTATTTAAACATCATTTTTGGGGGCTGGGGATTTAGCTCAGCGGCAAAGCGCCTGCCTGGCAAGCGCAAGGTCGTGAGTTCGGTTCCTGGTACCGGAGAAAAACCAAAAAAAAAAAAAATATATCATTTTTGTTTGCAGTATGAGGGATTGAACTCAGAGCCAAAGCTCCCTATCAGCGAGCTACATCTCTGAATCCCTAACGAAGCCGTTGTTTTGTTCTAGGTTTTTGTTTTTATTTATTTGTTTTTTGTTTCTTTGAGACAGGGTCTCTCTTTGCAGTTCAGACTGGACTTGAGTCTCCATTTAGCTCAAACAGAGCTTGAGCTGGCAGGGATTCTCCGTCTGCAGCCTCTGCTTCAGCCTTGCAGAATGCTGAGATCACAAGCACGTGCTGCCACGCCTCTGGACTGTGTTACTTTTTTGATTTCCTGGGTGCTGTCAGGTGAAAAGAGGGGAAGGGAGTTCCCAAACGTTGACTGAGAAGAAATCATGGGTATTTATCTGTCTTGTTCTGTTGGGTTTTTTTCTTTGTTTTTTGTCTCTTTGAGACATGGTCTCACTGTGCAGTTCAGGCTGGCCTTGAACTCACAACGATCCTTCTGCCTCAGCCTCCTGAGTGCTGAAATTACAGGCACGTGCCACCACCAAAGGCCTTTGTCTGATTTCTGTTGCTAAAACAAAAATACCAGGGGAAGGATGTAAGTGGAAGGAAATATAAAAATAAAGATGTTTTATGTACGTGTATCAACGCCCCATGGTGAATGCAATCATGAAAAATGCCCACCCCCCACACAAGAAGAAAATAGAATATAATTATTATATACTACCGCCACGCATGTTGGCACACTCGCAGCACTCTGGCCAGGAGTTCGAGGCCAGCCTGGACTACATAGCGAGATCCTGTCTCAAAAAATGAAAAGCAATGCCCATCACAAAAAGTAAATAAAACAAAAATACCCAAGTCCTTGCTTTGCATGTATAAAACCCTCAGTTTGATGCCCAGCATGGCAAAAACAAATTTAAAAACATCTGAGACTGGAGACTTCATAAAGCAGGTTTACACGGCTCAAGATTCTTGTAGCTGGAGGGTCTGGACAGCACGGCCCACATCCCGCTGAGGGCCCTGGGCTGCCTCAGAGCAGGGATCAGCAGTGGAAAAGGAAGACGCCAGGTACAGAAGAGACCAACCACAGGGGTTGACTTTATAACAATCTGCTCTCAAAAGACCTAACTCACTGGGCATAGTGGTGCACACCTGTAATCCCACCACTTGGGAGGCAGAGGCAGGAGTGCTGCAGGCAGCTGAGTTAGATAGAAATATTGCCGGGAGTGGTGGTGCATGCCTGTAATCCCAGCACTCTAGAGGCTGAGGCAGGAGGATCGTTGTGAGTTAGAGGCCAGCCTGGGCTACAAAGTAAGCTCAAATTCAGGCTCAACTGCATAGTGAGAACTTGTCGCAAAAAGACAAAAAAAAAAAAAAAAAAAGAAAGAAAAAGACAGGGCCAGACCCTCAAAGGAGCCAGCCTGGAAGACAAGATGCCTTACAAATGGAGAGAGGTACTTGCTGCGGGCCAGATCTCAAAACAAAAGATTAAACAAACACACCCACATACCTCCCTAAGGATGGACCTCTGGGATTGATATTCTAAATAGGTAGCAATCACTTTGAAGAGTCCCTGACCCAACCCTCTACAGGAAAAGCCCCTGTTCTGTATTCATGCCTGCTTGCTATGTTACTGGCTTCCTCTTTTGATCCTGACTTAATTTTACCAGAACAATTTTTTTTTTTATCTTTTTGAGACAGGGTCTGGCTATACAGTTCAGGCTGGTGTTGAGCTCACTTTGTAGCCCAGGCTGGCCTCGAACTCCCAATGATCCTTCTGCCTCTGCCTCCAGAGTGCTGGGATTACAGGCATGGGCCACCACACCCGGTTAACAATTCTTATTGACTGACCATAGATTTGTCCCACCTCGTGCCCACCTTGTGATTTCCCACCTTGTGGTTTTGCTCTATAAAAATCTTTGGAAGCCGGATGTGGTGGCACGCCTGTAATCCCAGCTCTTGGGAGGCTGAGGCAGGAGGATCATTTCAAGTTTGAGACCAGCCTGGGCAACAAAGTGAGCTCAAGATCAGTCTCAATTGCATAGCAAGACCCTGTCTCAAAAAGACCAAAAGAAAAAAAAAAATCTTTGGAAAAGGCAGGTTCTATGGCAACCCACTCGGGTCCCCTTCTGTCTCTCTCGAACAGAAGCTTTCTTTCCCTCAATAAATATGTTCTGCTCTTAACCTCTGTTGTTCCTACAATTCATTCTTCGATTGTAGAGAAGAACACAAACTCATCCCAGATATCATTCAGATTGGGAGTTTTTCTCCCCTGTAGCCCGGGATGCATTGTGAGACACTGTCTCAAAAAATCCAGAAAGACCTTACTCCCTCCTAGAATCCAACATTATTCCTCCGAGAGCCGTCATCACCGTCCCCACCAGGGCGCCCTGTTGATACAGGAAAATAAAAACTCCCAACCTGAATGATATCTGGGACGAGTTTGTGTTCTCTAAAATTAAAGAATGAATTTTAGGAACAATGGAGGTTAAGAGCAGAATATATTTATTGAGGGACAGAAGGAGGACCCCAGTAGGTTGCCCAAGATGCTGTCTTTTCTAGGGACTTTTATAGAGCAAAACCACGAGGTGAGGTGGGTCCAAGGTAGGGGATAAACTGTGGTCAGCTAATAGGAATTGTTCAGGTAAAATTGATTAAACCAGGATCAAATGGGGAAGCAAGTCATGTAGCAAGCGGGCATGAATACAGAACAGGGGCTTTTCTGTAAGGGGTTGGGTCAGGGACTCTTCAAGGTGATCAGCTACCTAGTTAGAATATCAATCCCTGATGTTTACACCTAGAGAAGTATGTGGGTGTATTTGTTTGGTCCTTTGTCTTAAGGTCTGGCCCACAGGTATTTTACCCTGTCTTTCATGTTGGCTCCTTCTAGGGCCTGGCCCTGGGGCTGGGGATTTAGCTCAGCGGCAATGCACCTGCCTAGCAAGTACAAGGTCATGAGTTTGATTCCTGGTACTGGAAGAAAAGACAGAAAAACCAAAGCAATCAAGGGCCTGGCCCTATCTGCCTATCTGACTCCCTATAATGTTTCTGTCTAACTCAGCTGCCTATAACACTGTCTCACACACACATCACTGTCACTTAAAGATTGTAGTACAGATAAGGTATTGGGGGCTGTGGAATTCACTCCCCTCTGCCACTTGAGCTTAGTACTACCCTAAAGCCAGCCCTCCCTAGTCCATCCCTCCACCCACTTGTGCCAGAGCACTGCATATCACCCCAGACCAGAGCACATGCAAGCCCTTGTCCCCTTGTTCCCTCTTGAGCCCCAGAGCCCAATTTGTCTCCATGCCAGCCTGCACTATTGCTTTTTTGTCATCCATTTCTGTTTGTGACCTTCAGTAAATGTAGCTGCTTTCCCCCACTACTGAGCATTTGCTTTGCAACTCATTGCTTGCCCTATGCAAGAACCTGGAATCTATCTGTGGCTCCATCATGGGGAACAGTTCCACTCACACTGCACACCGAAGACCCCAGCACAGGAGCTTGAACCCTCTGCAGACCGCAGCGCCCCCAGCCTCATGCATACTGTTCCAAGCAGGACATTTGCTCTGGCATCAACTTCATCATATTTATCACAAGGACAAGGGTACATATAATTCCTTTCAGCTTGTGTAAGAACATTTGGAATAAGCAAGAGATTTTCTGGGTTTCCAATGGAAAACCAGCCATTGTTTAGCACACACTCGTGGTATCCCAGGAAATACGTGTTTGGTCTTTGTCCAGAGCCCTAAAATCCTTGAAATTTACTGAATAATAGGAATGAGTATAGGGCTGGGGATATAGCTCAGCGGCACAAGTGTCTGCCTGGCAAGCACAAGGTCATGAGTTCGATTCCTGGTGCCAAAAAAAAAAAAAAAAAGGAATGACTGTTGTTATTCATAGAGTCCTTTTCACCAGGAATTTATATTAGAGGTACACTATACTATGAAATGTATCTTACAATGAGATTATTAAGAGTGGGTCCCTAGAGCGCTTCAAGTGACCAGAAAGACCCAGTCATGATTAGAGAGCAGAAACCTTTGACTCATCCCACTCTCTGACCTCAGGAAAGGGGAAGGAGGAG